ATAGCTTCACAAACTTCCCTTATTGTTATAGGTCCATTCAAAATTTGTCTCTGATTTTCTGTGATCTTCATAAATTCTGTTTTATGTAAATATACATCCAGTTTCTCTAAGGAAATTTCTTAATCTTTATATAAAGTAGAATAATACTGGTGAAACACTTTTCACATATTTGCATTATCTGTTGTTACAGTATTCTTGTAATTTTAGTATCACTTTTCTTTTTCTTTTTGCAATTTATAAGCCAGCCATTTCCCTGGTTTATTTGCAAATTCAAAATTTCTTTGTTTTGCATAATTCATCTTTATTTTTCTCTCTCTTAGATAATTACCTCTGTAGAAGGTTAATTTGGTGGGTAATAGTTGTCATCTCTGGGGATTTTTTAAAACTCTTCTTCTTTTTATCTCATCCAAAATCACTTGTATTTTCTCTTGCCTTTTCTTTTTAAAGTCACAGTCACTGTTACGTTGTATTAAATATCCTCTTACAAGAGCTTTGCTTGCATCCCAAACCATTCTTACTTCTGTACCTTTATTAAGATTATTCTCAAAAAATTCTTTTAACCTCTTTTTGCAATCCTCCACTACAATTTCCTTTTGCAACAATATCTCAATCTCCATCTGAAAGAGCTATTTTTCTTTTCAAAGTTAAAGTCACTGGGTTGTGGTCTGAGAAAGTCTTTGGTAATATCTCCACTTTATGAACATTAGTAGACAAAATCTTAGAGATCTAAATCATTTCTATTCTGGAAAAGATCTATCTCTTTCAGAAAAATAAGTATATTCTTTTGAGTCACCATTTTTATATCTCCATACATCAACTATATATTTTTAATATTTTTCTGAGAAGTTCTATCTTTCTGTGGGGAAATCACCCCATTCCAATCTCTCAGGAAACACCAATTTCCATATGGAAAGTCCAGTAATTTATCCACAAGCCCTTTAAAAAATGCTGTTTATTTTCATTTGGGGCATAGATTCCCAATATCAAAGTCTTAGCCCCCTGTAGATTAACTTCCACCCCAACATATCTGCCATAATCATCATTCAATATCAGTTTTGGATATAGCTGAGAATTTATATACAAAACAGCTTCCTTTTCTTTCATTCCTGCTGAAATGAATTCTTCACCCAAAGTTTTGTGACTCAAATGTTTATATCTTTTTTTCCTAATATGCATTTCTTGTAGGCAACTCACATATTGTTTTAACTTTTTCAATTTTTTTTTTCTCTTTGGAGGAGCATTTGCCCCATTTATATTCTATGTTAAGCATTTATAATCCATAATTATGCCAAGATTTTAGAAAAGTCAATACCTGTAGCACCCTATGTGGTATCATCTTCAGTGTCCTGTTGTATCTGTTGTGGCATTTGTTTAGTCACATCTGTCACTGTCACTTCCATTTGCAACCCTCCAATTCTTTGAGTTTTCCCAAGAAATCTCTTGCTTTCTGCACAGAATTCAGTCCGGATCTCTGCTGTTTAAAAGTAAAAACCACCCTTTCCAACTCATCCCATCTAAATGGAATCTTCTTCTGTCTGTCTGTCAGAAAAAAATACTTTTTTCTTTTACGGAGTCTTCTAATTGGAATTTCCTTTTCCTCTGGTAGACCAGATGTTTCAGGCATACCAGAGGAAAAGGGTAAATCCTCAAATATGATCCTGGTGATTTCATATAATTTTTACATGAGATCGCCTGAAACCACCAATTGTGAGCACATAGTACATCCTTCTAGTTCGGATCACTTCTGGTTCCAACCTGATGTGAAAACATAGGTCCAAGGCATTCAGCTTCTTAATTCTAAACCAAAATGTCCACATATCTGATAGAATAATTCCTTAATGGTTTATTTTTCATCTGAAAATATTGTTCCACTTGGACAAAACTGCTCCAGAAGAAGTTACTTAAGATTTACACAAAGCTGCCAGCCAATCAGTGCTATGTATAACCCGTTGATGATAAACAGAAAGAGAAAGTAACTTCAGTGAATGATAGAGGTGCCTGCTATAGAGTGAATGTGCATTCTCTGACTCTCCTCCTAGTAGGACATAGGTGTTGTCTATCCCTGTAATCTGTTTCCTGTAATATAAATCTCCTTTCTGTTAGTTACAAAACCTGCTTCAGTAATCCGCTCAGGAAAGATGTCTGATCTAAGAAACAGACGTGCAAACACCCAATCTTTTATCAGCCATGCTCTCCTGTGGGGAAACAATGATCTCATCCAATTTAATAAAACTTTTCTACAGATTAAAACAAAAAAGGAAAACTACAGAAAATGATGTAAGATGATAAATGAAAAGACTCATACCTTTAGAAATCCACTGGTCTGAACATACTTTTAATAGCTATGATCACAGTAAGACTTCAAACTGTTGGCAGCTTCATTTACTGATGCATATCCTAAACACATCCTGCTCTGTTCCAAAAAACAGAAGTTTATTTAATATACAGAGTTTAAAATGAAGTCACATAGCAGGGTTTTTAAAAAACGAGCACCATCATTATACAACATAATTAGGAAATGTAAAACTAATGTCAGAACAGGCTCTTTTGATCCTATATACAATATTAAATCAACACACTGTTTATTAATGAGGCACGACAGGTTCTGAAGTGGCAACTAATGCGTAGTAAAAGTCTAAGCATGTCTGTAAGATGTATTTCATGGCATTGCTTTTGGCTGCAGAGAAGGATTTCTTGCAAAGAGCTGAACGCTCCGTAGTAGGTGATCTTTCATATCTGCAATGCTACATTCTTCTTCCTCATCTTCTCTTTGCTGCTGTTGCATTTTTTGACAGGTACATAGCAAAACATCCTTAAGCGACAGCAACTTTTTCATCATTCTAAAAACCTCACAGAGTTTGGTAGGAAAAGGCTCAATGTATTCTAGAATTATGTCCTTCACCATAGGCATTTTGGTGAACACTCTGCAGAGATTAGCACTGGCACGTCCTTCGGGTGGGGGAGAGAAGTTAGATATACTTGCCCAGGACTGAGTTTACCTTATTTTCACAACATGGGTAAGCTGTTTTTGCATCAGTTCAGATAGACATTTGCATTATTTGAACTCTGGACTGCACAAACACACTTTGGCAACTGTATGCTTGTTCTTAGAATTGCAGATTCTGTGCCTGCAGTTAAAATGAACAAGCCCTGTGCTACATTTTGGGAGGGTTTAGTAACTGAGGGCCAAAGCAACAGGTCTACCAAAGTAGAATTAACCTTGAGAAAGGTATATGTCTGCCCCTTGATTCTCAATTACTTGGGACCTATAGACATTTTTCCCTCTGGCTAAAACTATCAGTCAAAACTGTTCAAGTTCTAAACGCTTTATCTGATTTGAGATCAGGCTATTTGAAATAGTGTATTTTCCCATATAAATCTACCAGGTTATAAAATGTTCAAGAGAGGTACCTTGTCTTGTCTCACCAGTATTTGAGGCATGTTGGATAGGAATTCAGAAAGGTCATTTACAGTGGCACTTCCCACATTTTGGCACTTCGCTGCTCCTACCTTTCTGCAGTACAGCTCTAATAATGAACATAGGTTTAATGCATTGGTCTAATTATTAAAAAAAAAACTTTAAAAAATGCCTTATTTATTATATATGTACAGAATACATCCTTGCTATTATTGTCTTTTGGGTTAAGCAACTTTATGCAAAGTAAAGAAATAGTAAACATGGCATGAGGATTAAAAAAACAGGAATGTAGCTAAATCTACATCAGTAATACTCATTATAGCTCTCCATACCTTCCTAACCTTGAAACCATCCTTACTTCCACATCCATTGCTTCATACATTACCTTTTGTTCTTTAATTTTTTTTTTTGTTTTAGAATTTCATGAACTCTACCCAAAGACAACTTTCTTGCTCTTCCCTACCTTTCCACCCATTCACTCTTCTTTTTTTTAAATGTGACTGTAATTTAAAAGAATATGAATTCTTTTCAGTTCAAGCTCAGCTGGCAATTACAGCAACACTAAAATCTCTTCTACATTGCTGAATTTTTTAAAATTGGGCAGCAACCTCTTCCCATTCGGGAATATTTTTTAATGAAAAATAGTCCAGCAAGTTTGTGCTTCAACCTACGTGCCTGTCAATCATAGTCACTCTGGTTGAAAAACAGGGGTGTGTAAAATGTTTAGAATTCAAATGGCCCACTTTGAATATCGAACAACTGTTTCGAGTTTGAAAAGCATCCAAAATGAACAAAGATTTATGAAACAAATCTAGAAATAGGGTAGTTCAAATTTGAAGTGTTTCCAGTTCTAAATGTTTTGCATACACCTAGTTAAAAACTGTAAAAAACAGAATTAGGCAGGGTTTCCCCCCCCCCTTTCTAATAAATAGCTATGTTTGTGTTTAGCTGTTCTACAAATTTAGCTCAATTTGTAGAACTGCTTGATTTTTAAAAATGAAAAGTGGAAATCTGGGACTTATGGCTTATTTCAAAGGGTAATGCCCACTTCTTGCCTTCTGCAGGTGCCTTGGCTTCACATATCTGTGCCTTCCTTAAGCCATGGAAGGAAACACTGCATTGTACAGATCACCAAAGAGAAACCTGTAGCTTATTCTTAAACGAATGACATTTTTCAGTGGAATGTGTGTGGTAATCATCCAGTCAAAGTTGCTGTTCCTGCACATAATGAAACTTTTCCTGATTCACTGGTTCATCACCGGTCTCTCCTGCCTTGGGTTTTGAGATGGCGTGGACCTTCTCTTCATCTGGCTTTCGAAGGGGGATTTTCTCACTGGACATTCCTGTAACTGAAGTACGCTTGACTGTAAATGGAGAGAAAATGAAAAAAGTGTCCTTAACTGGTACTGTGGCCCCCTCCTCAGCCTAGTTTTCTCACTGGCTTGGCTTGGCTTCTGCCCTGCACCACCGCCATTAAACTCCTACTTTCTTTAGATGTGAAGGCTCACCTTTATATTTATAGCACATTATTGCAGCTCCTACTGAAAATCCAGACCCAAATCCAATAGCCAATCCCAACAGCCAAGGAATTGCTGACGAAGTTGTAGAGGTAACTGTGGGCCAAGAGGGTGAGGGAGAAATTTTATTTGTGGTACTCCGAGTACTTGGGGGAGTGGGATGGATAATCCCATCCCCCTCACCTTCTGGCTGCCAAAGGACAGACTGCTGCTGTGAGCCATTTAAAGCTCCATGTTCTACTCGACAAGTGTAAGTGACTTCGACATCACTCTTCTCTGGGAAGAGGACGCTGGTAACGGAAAACATCCCATTGTGCATACGCTGCGCCTCCGTCTTTACTTGGGTTTGCGGCACTCCATTCTGCAACCACTCAATACTGATTTGGGAGGGATAAAATTTGCTCGCATGGCACACGGCTGCTACAAATTCCTTCCCCGATGGCTTAGTGAGCAGCCGAAGGTCTGGGCGAGCTGCAAAGAGAGGAAGGAAATTCAAAGTCCTGGAGACAACAGACAGTCTGCCATGCCGCCATTGTCAGTTCCCAACTCCTTGGAGCCAGTCTTGTGACTACCTGGGATTATTCTTGTCACAGCTGTTGTGTGAACTGGAGTCAGCTGACACCTGCTTGTTTCAGCTGACCAATCAGGGAGCACTAAAATCAGTCTCCAGCTGCTGTCTCTGCCCCTCTTCCATCTAAAACAGTGTTTCTCAAGCTTGGCAACTTCAAGTTGTGTGGACTTCAACTCCCAGAATTCCCCAGCCAGCACAGCTCACTGGGGAA